TGTGTGTGTGTGTGTGTGTGTGTGTGTGTGTATGTGTGTGTGTGTGTGTGTGTGTGTGTGTGTGTGTGTGTATGTGTGTGTGTGTGTGTGTGTGTCTGTGTGTCTGTGTGTGTGTCTGTGTGTGTGTCTGTGTGTGTGTCTGTGTGTGTGTCTGTGTGTGTGTCTGTGTGTGTGTCTGTGTGTGTGTCTGTGTAATGTGACTGATAAAAGTACAGTGGACTCTTGTTTCATAATTGAACGGAGGCTGGACTCCAAACTGGTATGGTAAGAACAGAACTTAAGGGAGGGGGGATTGCAGTGGTGACAAAATTTATGTTTGTCGGGAAAATCACCCCAGTCAGGACATACATGTACGTGTGGACAAAGAAATCCGACCCACGTGCCGAAAGTACTTCAAAGTAGCGCCGAGGCCCAGGTGGCCCCTGCGGCCTTCGCCTGGGTTTTTGGATCATGCTTGACATAATAATTGGAACGGAAACGCAGCGCTACTTTTGACTTGTTGGTCGGTTTTCTTCCACCATGACTGTGCATGACTGTACATGCGTTATCCCCCTCACCCAGTGAGGGCCAACATTTCCCCGATATGGTAAGGTGACATGCAGTCAATCACGGGGCCAGTCCATAGATATTAACACTTAATAGAGTAACCGACGAGGTGACAGGAAAGAGATCGCTTTGGTGATGATGACAGGTATTCCATATTATGAAGTGGCTGCAGTGGAGCTTGCGCACTTGATAAGAGAGGTGACAGCAGCCGACAAATAGCATTGAATAAAACTAACTGTGCACTCCTAACATTTTGAAAACCCTACAAATTCTACAATGTATTCCAGAACGAATAAGGGGTCGTCGCAAAAGTTTTCTGTCGTCCCTGAAACGAACATCGTTCATTTCGTACTCGGACACCCTCCCCTCCCTCTGAAACGAACACAGCTTGCTATGCTGGACGACGAAAATCGCATGCATGTACATGTCATATGTACAGTGTCGGTCGACTTGCGATTTTGGCTCGCACCCCCTCCCACCCCCCCCCCAAATGAATCATGTCGTTTCAGGGACGACAAAAAACTTTTGCGACGACCCCTAAGGACGCTGTTCTCACTCACAAGCGAGGGTCATTATTCACAAGGTTGCCAGCAGACGGGAAGTACAGTCGGTAGGGTTTCTGGCTACATAGGTCTGGGCAGTGTCTGCTCCAGAGCCGGGTGAGCCGGGTAATCGACCCGGTTGGGCGGCGCTTGGACCCGGTTGAAAATCTAGAACCGGGTCACCTGTCTTTACACGTTCGAACTAGTTACTTTGAAAGGACTGACTACATGGCTTGTATGTGTGACAGATCATGCAGAGGCGCGCGTCGAATACATGTGTACCCGGCTCCGACACGGTTGAAATGGTTGCGCCAGGTACACGTGTACCCGGCTGTCCTACAATCCTAGAGCAGATACTGCTGCGTCCTCATCAATTTCTAATGCTAGCTATATGTCTCGTCAACCCCCGTCTTCATCTCTGGACCATGTGTGATATGCAGTCAATGCTGTTCATATTATTCATGCAGGGGGGGGGGGGGGTGTCCCCATTAATTTTAAATGCTATCCTCCTTTAAAAAACACTCACGATATGTCTCATCACCTCACGTCTTCTTCTCTGGACCATTTGTGATACGCGGCAGTCAATGCCAGACATACAACACATTTGTGATACGCGGCAGTCAATGCCAGACATACAACATATTTGTGATACGCAGCAGTCAATGCCAGACATACAACACATTTGTGATACACAGCAGTCAATGCCAGACATACAACACAACCTGGTACAGGTCTGCTCTCGATATAACAACTCTCACTTGTACATAAACCTCGCTAGTACATAAAAAAATCAAATCACTCCCATACAAATTTTGTTCTACACAACATAATCCTACATAAGGCCATGGTAAAAAATATCTTTGATTCTCAAGTACGCGCGCATCGATTTTTGGTGGCGCACCGACGATTTTTTTTATTTCTATGCATGCATATGCGCGCATGAAAACGGTCAATGCGAAAGGCATGAATCCGGGAGTAGTAAAATACCGGTATTTTTCTACTCCCTGGCCTGAATAATAAAATAATTTAATATAAATTAATTATGAACCTGTGACGTACACATGTGTGACCCTATCTTTGGAGATAAAAAAAATTGTGGGAATTAAAATAAAAAATCGCTCGCTCGCACCGATTTTCACAGGCTCATGACCTGAGAATCAACTTTATTTTTTACCATGGCCTAACATAAACCTCGACATAACACACGCTACGGCGGTCCCCGACGTGCGCACTCTCGATACAACATAAATTAATTCACTTGCACGGTACGATCAAGCGGTAGCTGTATCTAGGCAGTTTGCACTGTTTAGGCCAGTTTGTTCATACATAACGTAAACCTCGGCATAACGCACCCTACGGCGCGGTCCCCGACGGGTGCACTCTCGATACAACGTAGATTCACGTGCGTGGTACAATCAAGCTGTAGCCGTAGCTACAAAATGTAGCTAGCTAGCCAGTTTAGTCCTATTGTGCATAATTATATTCTGCGGCATTGATGATATCTGATGTCAATGATGGTACAGTGTGTATGTTTGCACGGTTGAACCCGCCTTGTAATACTAATACCCTTCATTTTGAGGTACATCTTGTATTTTACACACGGTTTTCTACATAACATAACTCTCGATATAACATATTTTTCCGTGGTCCCAGAGATTACGTTATATGGAGAGTAGACCTGGTAGCAGGATACTGTAAGTTGGCAAATTTTCTGCCCGTTCAAATTTCGGCCTTCCAGGGCTAAATACATTTCGACGGCAACAACTTTTCGGCGTCTGCTGCCTGTGTACACTGTCACACTGAACCTTGCAAAACAAAATTTTCAGCTGCAACACATTTTCGGCCAAATATGACCTGGCCGAAAATAGATATGCGCCGGATACTGTCATGTTGACTTACAGTAGGGATTTTCAGCGTATCTTGAACATTACTGCTCTTCGGTGGACATTCTTCTCCTTAATCTCAAGCAACATGTACATTGCCTGCACAACTCTATGAACACAGTCCTCGGTGTTTTATTTTGTGCTCCTTGCTCAGAACGTCACAACACTGAACAGCGGCACATGCAGCCATGCAACTCTGCTTCTCTGTAGTGAACTGAATAACCCGCTGAAGTTGAAGGTATCTGCTGGTGAACGTCGAGCCATGGCTCGGAATGGTGGCGGCTACGGCAGTGGTGACGATGCCCTTGCTTCCACCATTGTCCTGTGCATCAGCGGATGTACTGGTGTCCCCCTCGCTGGTTGGAACCGTGAAAACGGTGCTGTCCTGTTGTATACGCTGCTTACTCCTAAACGTCGGCAGGGTTCGGAAGACTGGTGTAGCAGCGGTATAGAGCTGCTGCAACTTATGTCATGGTGGTGAACTAGTGGATACGCTAATGGTCGCTTGGTCTACAGTCTGAGTCAGCAGATTCGCTTATGAGAGCCAAGTATACAGTGTGAGTGGGCAGTTTAGCTTGAGCAAGTGCATCGATCGCTGTGCTGCAACTTTGCCAAGCCGCTCTTAACGGAGGCTGTAACTGCATAGCCTGTAAAGTTGTGAATAGCTGGTCACCTCCATAGCAACCGTTGATTTTTAATCTTGGTGGGCAAGAGAGCAGGGAGTCCTGCTTGAGAACTGCAATAATATTATTATACACAAAGGCACACAATGAAAACCTTGGCAAATTAATTCCGTTGTGACTCAGAGTTTCAGTCATGTAGATGCAGGTTGTTGCTGCTGCTGCTGCTGCCGCTACTGCTGTTGTAGTCCTGTTGTCGTCGTTGTTCTTGCACTTCTTCTTGTTATGCCAGTGATTTCTAATCTTTTTCAAATCATGATACGTGTGTTTTCCATCAATGCATGAGAGCAAATCCGCCATGTTGATGGCATGCCGCATGCTTCTGCTCCTTGTGCTGTTGTCAATGGTTACTCGAGAGGTTGCAGCAAAAGGTCTGGGTTCAAGGCCTTGTGTGTCGGCGCATCGAGCAGAGGGAAAGGGCTGCCATGGTTACAGTGTTTTGTGACTGTGTCCACTGCACCTGCCGAGTGTATAAGTCAAACAGAGCAAAGGGAGGGTGGTGGGGGAATCGGCGTAGGGAAAACCAGCCACGTGATGGAATTCTGGGTCTAGAAACAAACTATACTACTCTGATGTAAGAAAACGAAAGAAAAAATGAACTGGAACCCCATGACCAACATGCATATCATATGCACACACACAAAGGCATACACAAATGCATACACAAAGGCACATACAAAGGCATACATAGTCATACTATGTACAACAAGCCTACCTGTCCCAATATGCACACAACAGACAACACACTGACAGACAGAGCAAAATAGGAACAATGAACCAAGTAAGAATGCAGTTCAACGGGACAATAATGATTCTTTTCTTTGCTTCTTTCCACCAAACCTAGATTTGAACACAGAGACCGTACACAGAGAGAAACATGACAGTCTTACCAAGTACTTACCAACCATGCCAAGTGTTCACCTGTTGATGGGCACTGTGTAAAATTCATACAAGTAGCCTAAGAAAGATACTACACCCAGGTCATATACTCAGGTCATACCGTAGAGCCACGGATGATTGACAAGCTACCGTATGCACACTATCTTAGCTGCGAGCTAAAACACCAACTAACTCCTACTAGAGACAATACGGTTTACCCAGTTAGAGCAGCAAGAAGTTCCCCAAGCCAGAGAGCAGTCAAATACCTATTGTGATCAACACTCCCCCGCTCAGGACTGCACATGTGTGTGCGCACGCACGCACGCACACACACACACACACACACACACACACACACACACACACACACACACACACACACACACACGCACACATACACTGCAGATGCGCATTGCTAGCACGGTACACGCGACATAGTTTCCGCTTTGCAGAACCAAAGCTGATGACTGCACACTCTGAACTGAAGTCATCATTTGGCCCAAACATAACACCAGCCGAGACACTAGTATACATGTCAACTACTTAACTAGCAGTGGAGCTATCAGTCTGCTCTAACACTTAGCTATCAGTGGAGCTATCAGTCTGCTCTAACAAGGGTTGCTAGTAGTTACTAGAACAAGTCAATTACCTATCACTTTTTCTACGCAGCATAATGGCATCCAGGGATTCTGCATAGAATATGTGCAAGCATTTCCTAGACAAACTAATGATAAAACTAATGATGACGAATACCAACAGCAAGGAGAGGGCACAGGAATGGAACCATGCTATCATTCTGTGCTATGAAAGAGAAATCCAGCAACCAAAACATCTGCCTTGGTTTCTACCTTGCAGAATTACACGATGCGTTGGCATAGTACATGGAATAGGAAACGAAGAGTGCGAACAATTCATGGAGAGATGAGCCAAGTGCCTAGAGCTACATGTACGTGGAGAGGGCCCAAGTCAAGTCATAGGAGAAATGAAGTAGAAGTCCTGGATCATGACATTGTGTAGACTGGTCCTGGTTCTACGAGCCCTCGCAGGCTACTATATATGTAAATGGATATGATAAAATACATAAAACTCTCCTCCACCATGCGCCCTAAAGTCGACCGAGGGTTATGATATGTTGTGTTATTGCTTACACCGGGTGATGCTGGCCAATGCAAGCATGTCTCCACCATGATGGCTACCTCAACGTAGTTATTGGTGATGTTAGCCACTGAAGCCACGTCTCCACCATAACGGATATCTTGACGCAGTTACATTGATGATTCTTAGACACCGTAGTCATCGCCTCAGCAAAGGAATACAAACGAGTGCACACGCCGATCTTTGAAGCGGTGAAAGCACCACGGGAAAGTGCATTCGGGCAAGCTATGATTGTGGACGCAAGCCCTCCTCAGCAAGGTCCTTCAAGCAGGTGTTCGTGATGCTGACTGTCACCTCGTCCACAATGTCCGCCACAACTGCCGACAGCTGCTTCCAACTGTGGGGAAGGAAAACAAGGTAGCAGTGGTGAAGAAGAAGAACATCCATTCAGCTCAGTGTCGCAGCATACAATTCCCATGGGGTTATGTGACAAAGAAATTTACAAGCAGCGCAGCATGCAGTGCAGCATGCAGCGTAGCATGCAGTGCAGCATGCAGCGCAGCATGCAGTGCAGCATGCAGCGTAGCATGCAGCACAGCATGCAGCGCAGCATGCAGTGCAGCATGGACTGCAGCATGTAGTGCAGCATGCAGTGCAGCATAGCATGCAGTGCAGCATAGCATGCAGTGCAGCATAGCATGCAGTGGAACTCACATAGTAAGTACTGTACAGTCGGTCCTCTTTTATCCGGATCCCTCGCCATCCGTAAGAAATAGCTGGTTACAGATATACAGCATGCGGCATGCATCCAGCATAATCAGTGTTCGACTATCCGGTTCCCTCGTCTATCTGGATATTTTTTGTGGAAAACGGATGTGTGCGGTTAAGCGAGGTCTGACTGTACCCTGATAAGACCTACAATCTTGCACATTACCCACGTTTGCCGGACCATGGGTCTAGTGATATCTACTGAAGTACAGCACTACACTATTCTATCTCCCCTGCTTGCCTTCATTTAACTGCGCTTTTTCTTCTTCTAATCTCCTTGTGTTGTCTGATGATTGGTTTTTGCCATGAAACTCTGAGCAACAACGAAACAGCCCTATTTCGCTTCCTTTTGTGTTCCTCTTGAAGTACAGCACTACTCAATGAAGTCCAGTGGAGTTTCTCAAGCACGCGCCACCGGGCATTGCGAAGCCCTAGACCTGCGAACACTGGGCTGCGAAAAGGTGCGCGGGGCCAACTTGACTCTCGCGACGGGATATCATTGAGCATTACTGTGGTTTGGGATTAGAAGCACCGCGGATACCAGGAAGGGATAAACTTTGCGGCACGCAGATTTAGCGTTTTCATGAATTTGACTGGTTCATGATGAGGAACGTTTGCGATTTTATCTCTTCAGTTGCATCTTGTGCTGTCTACTATCAATGTAAAGAGCAGCTTGCAGCGATTTATATTCGCCAATGTGTGGTGGGCGCGAAAAAAATAGCGAAATAAAACCTCTAGCGAAAGTTTCTCACTTTACAGCACACTTTCCTGCTGTCTATGGGGAACGTCTTGGAGTTCTACTGTGTATTAAAATACCAAGTAGACAAGTGTTCATCTCCGCATCTCCGCATGCATTGACACAAGCTCACACAACCAGCCAAGAAGACCCAATATACTGGTATTGACCGTTTGTTCCCAGTTCTCTTGAAAAGACTGCATTGAATTGGCGACTAATCTCAGGGTGTAATGGAAGTCCGTGTGAATCACAAGTGTCCAGTCCCAACACGTTATCCATAAGGATCTGATCTGTAATGCTAATGTCATACACTAGTGGCAGCTGAAATCCAACACCTGATTTTCGTGCTCGAGTCCAGCACCGATTCTAGCGGTCTCTATTTGATTCTAGCGGTCTCTATTTGCTAGTGTACATCTACATGCACAAGCGTGTGCTGGGTTTTTGCAATAATGTGAACGCACCGAGCAGGGGTCGGATTTCAGTTGCCACCATTGACCGTACTTACAGCTCATGGTCATCGGCTTGACCAACACGACCACCAACACCACCGCCCACTTGCCGCAGCTTGCGCATTACTGCACTCTGGCTGGGCTCCTCTGTGCACTCGCTCTGCGGTGATGACGGCTCAGACACCGCCGCCGTCTCTCTGTACGGCGTCATGCTCGAATACGTGTTCGGTTCGGAGTCGAAGAAGAAGCTCGAATCCATCGAGTCCAATTCATCCTCGTCATACAACTCGCCTGCGTCAACATCAATACAAACAGTAAAGGAAAGTACCGGGTGAACAACTTAAAACGTTTCTTGTCGGCAGTAAACTCCAACGATACAAGAGTCTTTGCTGTGCACTCTAGACTCGCTACTTGAATACTCACTTTTGCAGAGGGTAGCCATAGTGAATATTGGTGTGCTCACAAGAAGGAGCTGATTTGTACCAGCAAATATTGCAAGGAAAGTCAACGGTGTGTGTGCGTGTGTGTGTGTGTTTGTGTGTGTGTGCGCGCGCGTGCGCGTGCCCATGTTTGTGTGCATGTATGTGTGTGGTGGTGGTGGTGTTGGGGGGGGGGGGGGGGTATTCTATAGGACAAACACCCCAGCACATGTATACCGCACTAGAACCCCGCCAGTAGGGTATACACTATTGACACATGTACCATCGCACTGTTTTGTGATTCACTGGGAGACCAGAAACATTCTCGTACCACTAGCACCAGCAGCACTTCTATCTCAGCCACTACAGCCACCATCACAGCCACCATCACCACCAGCACCACCACCACCACGAACACCAGCACCAGCACCAGCACCACCAGCACCGCCAGCACCACCAGCATCATCATTAGAAGAATTACAACATTCTCAACACTACTTACGGTTTTTTAGTTTGGATTTCAGCACATTTCGGTATTTCTGATAATACTCCATGCTCGACCACCCCCAGCGACGCATATGCTTTCGAATCTTCTGTTCGTATTCACTCTCCAAGCTGCTCTCGGTCTCCGTAGTCGTAGACGACTTTCCAGTTGGTAATGGCACGCGTGCTTGCTGGCGAGCGGAGGGTTTGAGCGACTTGCGTCTGTCAGCTGAAGCACCAGCATCAGCAGCAGCATCAGTTGCAGCATCAGCAGCAGCAGCAGCAGCAGCATCAGCAGCAGCATCAGCATCAGCAGCAGCAACAGCCAGCGCTCCACTCAAAACGTTGTCAATGTCGCACACGGGGGCATCTGCCACCTCCGCCAGGCTGCTCTGGAAATCCTGGCTCTCCAGCAGGTCCCTGAGCACGTCAACACAGTGCACAATTTAGCACAATTATCACAAGGTGATAGGAGTATGGAAGTTTGTAAAGAGAAAAAACCAAAAAACAATCGACGGGTTCGCGTACCGGGCAGGTCAAGAACAAGGAGTCGTTCAACTCCCTGGTCAAGAACCACCTTTCCGCTTCGTAAAAACCAAAAACCAAACATCAATCATCAAAGATAAGGAACACACGCACATGCCGGGAATGGTGATCGGGAAAATTCGCTAACGATATGCGACACCGTCAGTCTCCACGCTCATCATACTGGTTGTGCGTGCTTCCCCTAACTGCATTTCCTGTTTGGTATTTAGGTGGCCTTCGTGAAAAAGAATACCAAAAAAGATACTGAGTAATGTAAGAGGGGTAGCGACAGTGCTATTCCATTCCTTACTCCAGTCTAACTACACACACCCCCACCGCCACCCCTCCATACGGAAATGACATGCCGTACGGATGAAATGGCAGGTCACAGGCTACGCCTTCAAATATTATGAGCATTACAAAAAAATTCATAGTAAAGAAAAGGACCAAGAAACTACAAGTTACGCTATACTGTCCACTAACACCACCAGTTACTAAACAATCAGCTCATGCGATAACATTGTACGACACTGACCGACGGTACTGACGTTCTACAACTAACAGCTCTAGCCCGTCTCGGATGCTGATTGTTTAGTAACTGGTGGTGTTAGTGGACATTATAGCGTAGCTTGCAGTTCCTTGGTTCTTTTCTTTACTACTGTTAGGTACCTCCTCCCGTACCTTTTCTAGCTGGCCTGCATGCACTTGCGTACTCACCTTTTGTCTCCTTTTGTTCCGTTGGCCTGGGTAGCTACTTGCGCGCCCATATTTGCCATAGCTACCCAGGCCCTTTATCTTGCCGTTCAGACTTGATCTCTTCCTCTCTTTTCTCACTCTTCAATGTAGTCGTTTCGTTCGTCTTGGTCTCTTGTCTCGTCGTCTATAATAAATGTCGTTCCCCCCACCTACCTGTTCCCGTTGAAATGTCTGGATAATGTGTCGTCAGTCGTCCTGTTTCGAATTCAACACTACAATACTACATTAAATTATTCCTTGGCTCTCCATCCGGGTCTATCCTTGCGCAACAAATTTCACTTTCCAATGTCATGCGTAGGATTGCACATCTCACAAACTGCTAAACAGAGTAAAAGTCACGGTCAACATGACATCACACGTTGAATACAACACACCCATTTTAGCAAGTTGGGCTCAGACCCGTTCTTCTTTCTCATTACGTAATACTACTTACTGGAGAAGTTTGTTGGCAATGTGCTGCGAGAATTTGGCCACTACGATGTCATTCCGCTTGTCGGTAACGATCGTCTCATCGGCAATGTCACTGACCTGAGGCACGTCGTCAGCTCTGTAGCAACAAAGGCATGGCAATAAAGAACATACAGATATACAGACAGACGGACGGATGGAGAGACAGACGGATGGACAGATGGACTGGTAGACAGACAAACACAGACAGACACAAACACATCACCGATGTTACAACTCGCCGGTTCACCTCCATTTTCCAAACAGGTAAGTACCACAGCAGAGAAAGCTACAGTGTTCCCGAGCAGATAGCAAACACACGGAGGGTGAATGAATGAGAATTTGTGTGCACACACCCACGTGTGTGTTTGTCTACGTGTGGAGAGAGAGAGAGAGAGAGAGTGTGTGTGTGTGTGTGTGTGTGCGTGTGTGTGTGTGTGTATGTGTGTGTGGGGGGGGGGGAGGTGCGTGATTGCGTGCGTGCGTGCGTGTGTTTGTGTGTGTGTGTGTGTGAGAGAGAGAGAGAAAGAGAGAGAGAGAGAGAGAGAGAGAGAGAGAGAGAGAGAGAGAGAGAAAAGAGAAGGGGAGAGGGAGAAACAAGTGGAGAAGAAAGGAAAGAAGCAGAAATACGCAATGCTACGCAACAAACCTTGCTGATGGATAAGATGACGCAAGACTTGGGAACAAGCTGCTGAAATCATCTTGTAAGTATGACCGTCCCGTCACAAACAAATGCAGCACTGTGGATCTCGGTGGTGTTGGCCTCTGCACACATGAAACCAGGAAAGCAACCCAGCAGTTAAGCATATCAAACTGTTTTTTCACGTGTTCTAAAAATAGGAGAATGCTACATGGCATCATGACCCAATCAAATCTTCAGCAAGTTTTGAAGGACAGTTTTTTCAGGATGTCTTGCCTCACCAACCACTACGTCATTACGTGAGGAGGCTATTCAAACTGCTGCCGAAAGATCAATGTTGCAATTCACCGAAACGTTCCTGCTCAGCAGAAGATGCCGGATTTAGGCTAGACATCTACTAACATGTGAATGGCGGTGGATAGCTCATACGGTGCAGGACCAGAGAACTCTGAGTTTCACGCACAAGGCAATCATAAGATAACAGCTGCTGTCGATGATCATCGCCTTGTGTGTGAAACTCAAGAGTTCCAACTCAATCCTCATCCTCTTCTTACTGCCACCATGAACTGGATGTTGCTCGTCATGGCCATACTCACCAGAGCTTTGCCGGCCACTTGCTGTTTCCTCGGTCGGGACGTGGACCTTGTCGACATGTCACTGCACAGATACGCCAACAATACCACAACCAGTATGCCAACAACGACAACAGAGCCAGTTTTATGAACAACAACGATACAACAAAATTGCCAGCAACAACAACAGAGCCAGTATTGTCAACAACAACGACAGAACCAGCATTGTTCACAACAACACCACTAGAAATCGCTTCTCTGGCCACCTGCCATCTCCATGACGCTCTTACTGGAGCAGCAGAGGAGTGATATACGTCATGTAGGGGCAGCAATGGCAGCAATGACAGTACATGTAAGCGCAGCACCAATACAACATATCAGAGATCAAAAGCACACTCCACATACATGTGTAGGCACATTAGGCATTGGAAACACCCAAACCACATGCACACCAACATACACCCCCCCCCCCCCCCACACACACACATGGACACCAACATACCCCCCCCCCCCCACACACACACACATGGACACCAACATACACCCCCCCCCCCCCCATACACACACACACACAATGACAGTAAAATACTAACATTGCTATTCAATATAAACTGTACGTACCTCTTCTTCCATGATTCGTATTGATCAGGTACCTTCTGACCATAGACAGGAATAGCTGGTGGCAAGGACTATGATACAGTGAGAACAACAACACACACACACACACGCACGCACGCACGCACGCACGCACGCACACACACACACATACACGCACGCACACACAATGTGCAGGCAGACATGGGACTGTAGTGAAGATTTCCACAACACCAAAGAGTTGACGATGCAGTGAACCTCAACCGACATCTTTCTAACTCACTGTCTCATCTTACCTTTCATTAGCTTTACGAGAAATATGTATGAGCATGTGTTCTCTTGCAGTAAATTAAAAGTACTTTTTCAAGTGTTTTAGTGGCTTTGTTGTTGTTTGTTGTTTTTGTACTGTATTTTGTTATTTTACTTGGGCATTCCCAACAGACCCTAAGGTCTTCTTACAGGGCACCCAGGATGAATGAATTTGTTAAGTTCCTGGTGAAATGAATTGGGGATATGATTAGTTGTTTGTGTTACGCAGAGCTCACCGCTTGTCAGTTTGACCACTCTGGCAAAGTAGGTTTGGGCCTGGTTTCAATTTGGCCTTGAAACGTGTTTTTTCATTGCTTTAGGGTTCGGTCTCATTTTCTCTGTGCCGCGTTAACAAGTGCACAAAAGACAAAACAGTCCCATCTGCAGATCGAGTTTGAGTATGTGCAAACATACACAGGAGACGAGAGGCTGGCTCCACTCTTATACTTCAATTTTCTTTCACTAAGAAAGTTTCCGACAGAACTAGCCCCTGTGTATCTACATTGGTGTGCACTCCGGTCACTGTGGAGTACTTTAGTCAAGCCGACCTATGTGCGTGTGCACTCCCGGACTCCGGTCACTGTGGAGTACTTTAGTCAAGCCGACCTATGTGCGTGTGCACTCCCGGACTCCGGTCACTGTGGAGTACTTTAGTCAAGCCGACCTATGTGCCTATGTGCGTGTATACTGACTGACCTATGTGTGTGTATACTGACTGACCTATGTGCGTGTAGACTGACTGACCTATGTGCGTGTATACTGACTGACCTATGTGCGTGTATACTGACTGACCTATGTGTGTGTATACTGACTGACCTATGTGCGTGTGGACTGACTGACCTATGTGCGTGTGGACTGACTGACCTATGTGCGTGTGGACTGACTGACCTATGTGCGTGTATACTGACTGACCTATGTGCGTGTATACTGACTGACCTATGTGCGTGTATACTGACTGACCTATGTGCGTGTATACTGACTGACCTATGTGCGTGTGCACTGACTGACCTATGTGCGTGTGCACTGACTGACCTATGTGCGTGTATACTGACTGACCTATGTGCGTGTATACTGACTGACCTATGTGCGTGTATACTGACTGACCTATGTGCGTGTGGACTGACTGACCTATGTGCGTGTGGACTGACTGACCTATGTGTGTGTATACTGACTGACCTATGTGCGTGTATACTGACTGACCTATGTGCGTGTGGACTGACTGTCACTCAATGAATGGTTTGAACTACTGTATGGCAGGAAAATTTCGGACGGGATTTATTTCCGTACAATTTCGTACATGGCCTCTTTTGTACTAAAATACATTCCGTACTAAAATGTGTTCATGTGAAATTATGCACACTATACAATAGTATACATGCGTACGGCTTGCGAACACGTGCATTTTGCATGCAGCACTGTACGAAAATAAAATCCGTACGAAAGGTCGAAATTCGGCTTTGTCCGAAAATAGTTCCGTCCGGAAAAATCCTTCTATACAGTAATCTTTTCAGGCAATTTTTCTTTACAGTACAACCGTCACTGCTCACTCTTTTATAAAACATTTTTTTTGTTGACATCCATGTGTACATGTGCAACAATGTTTTTTGAGTTTTGCTCTTACAAGAGGCTTTTCTCTAAAAGAATATACATGTGTATGAGTGTGTGTTGCTACAACTAGTATTGTGTTTCCAATGCCCTATCCAAACTTGGGTGTTTCTAACACTCTCCTCCACTACCGTACCTCTGAACAGTCAGTTTGTCATGCTGGAGAAGACATCGTGTTTAAATACCATAGTTACATGTCACCATGGCGATGTGCTGTGTTTCAGGACACCACTGACTGAAGGACTGTTTTCGGAGTCCAAAAGATCTGACTGAAGTTGTTCTGTGGTGGAATTTAACCACTCCGCACACACACACACACACACACACACACACACACACACACACACACACACACACACACACACACACACACACACACACACACACACACACACACACACATACACACACACACACACACACACACACACACACACACACACACACACACACACACACACACATACCTTATAAGTATACTGTTTGCTAGCTCTGTGTATGGTTGTTCTGCCTGTGGGCCATCGTGTTGTGCCGTCCAGCTTCACTGCCATATCACCATGGTGACCAAGTGTAGTCAGAGTAGTGCTGGCCGCATTGCGCCGTGCATCCTCAGCCATCATGTCCTTCTCTGTGATTGTGAAATGGACGGTGTCTTCGAGGCGCGATAGCTTCCATTCAGATAAGTCCTTCTCGTACTGTGCATCTGCTTGCACGTCAACCAGCTAAAGTATAATAACAACAACAAAAGGTGGAGGTAGAGGACGAGTGCGTGAGTTGGTGAGGGAGAGGTTTGGAGGTTTGCGTTGAGTAAGGGGCCATCCGTAAATATCGATAGTTTTTTCAATCCGTGAATTTTACAAAGTAACCAGGACCCACCACCCACCCCCCTACTTTTTACGGAATAAAATATTGATGACACATGTACTGTACCTACATAAATGTAGGTGGAGTCCATGGAGTCCATACACACGCAGGCATGCGCTCACCGTGTCATTCATAACTAGAGTACAGCAATGTAAAGTAGTCTGCCGTGCCATTTTCGTTAGGCAGCTGTACCAAACAAAGTAGTCTGCCGTGCCATTCTCGTTAGGCCACGCTCCACATGGGAACTGTTCCAACCATTGGCGATGTAGCAATTCTTTGATGTGGAGTTCAAATAAGAGCTGGACTTGACCCGGATTAATCAGGTATTGTGATACTTCGAATAATTGTGCAATAATTATACTTGTGAATAATATCTGACAAACTTCCCTCTTTCTTTTGCTTCAAGAGTTTCGATCTCCACTACATTTTTTGGAGACAACAATCTACGTGTACGTGTGGTTCGACGCACGCAGACCCACGCACACGCAGTACTGGGTGCCAGGTCCGCGTGTCATCGATATTTTATTTACTTTGAATTTCGGCTGCACCCACCACCCAGGTACGAAAATTTCACGGATTGTAAAAACTATCGACATTTACGGACGGCCCCTAAGAAAGTAAAGGGGAGAATAGAAGCCGAACCATGCACACAACATGTAACAGGTGTGTGTGTGTGTGTGTGTGTGTGTGTGTGTGTGTGTGTGTGCATGTGTGTGTGTGTGTGTGTGTGTGTGTGTGTGTGTGTGTGTGTGTGTGTGTGCGCGCGCGTGTGTGTGTGTGTGTGTGTGTGTGTATGTGTGTGTGTGTGTGTGTGTGTGTGTGGGCGTGGGTGCACGTGCGCGCGTGCGTGTGTGTACACAAACATGTATACAATGCCATATCGTGTAAACATGCCTTCATGGATGCATTCAGAGAGACGGCACTCACCTCGCAAGTTACATCCGTTTCGATGACCTTCACATCCTGACAGATCACCTCAAACTACAACATGACAAACAGCGAGGAACACAATGACATTTAGCTGCATATCTTTGACACCTTACTTCTGGGCCTGAATCAGGTAGTGAATGTATAATTGTATATGCAACCTTCCTAGAAATTCAGTCGGCTTTAGCCTGGAGCCTTTCTGCACACATTCGTTTTCCACATAATTATCCGGATAGGCGAGGGAACCGGATAATCAAATACACATACTGTATGTATGCATGGCATATGCTGTAAATCGGTCACCAGCGATTTTCTTCCGGATGGCAAGGGGTCCGGATTACAGAGGACCGGGTAAGCGACGTCTGACTGCATTGCTGTTTCCACTACCGTACCTGACACATGACCGATTGTTCGGCTCCTACCACACCCGTCGCTGGAATTATTGTAACCTGCAGCAAACAATTACACACAGACACATAGAAGTTACACACAGTCACATTGAAGTTACACACAGTCACATTGAAGTTACACACAGTCACATTGAAGTTACACACAGTCACATTGAAGTTACACACAGTCACATTGAAGTTACACACAGTCACATAACACACAGACACATTGAAGGAAAAAGAAGAGTTGCCATTAGAGAGGTTAAGATGCACGCTATTTCCGACGTGACACGCAATTTCACGTCAAATTTGGCGTAAAACTCCGCGAGCTGCAGATCCCTTGCGTTGTTTTTCGACGTGTGGGCCAAATAACGCGAGCTGAACTTTCGCGTCACGTCACAGATAACGTGCATCTTAACCTCTATTGTCTGTGAAACTCGGAGTAACAACAGAAGTTTTTCTGATGATCACTTAGTGCGTGAAACTGGGCAACTCGGCGTAAAAATACTTTTTTCATCCTCCTATTCTTGTAGGGACAAAGATACCCACCACTGCTATTCACAAGAAATGGTAGGTCGGTCAAAGTCACAAAGTTTTTTGTTTTGTTTCTGGAGGAAGTAGAAAAGTAGTCACATAAAATGATAGATCACTGTAGTACTATGCTGAAGATAGGGGAAAGAAAATGTTAGATAGATGAAAGTATATGTTTTCTTGATTGTGTGGACCTGCGTCATTGCATGCGAAGTTAAAGATTGCAAAATAAAAGATAGTGTGGGTGAAGCACCTCCTAGATGAACGTACACAGGGCAAACTACTGGTATTGGACAGACAGAAATACACAGCATGCATTTGGAATTAACACTAATATCCATGAACCTTCCAAGTGGGAAGGCCGTTGGTTAGCGCTATCGAGCACTGCTCAAGCTCACTTCCTTGTTGTGAAATGTCTCAGTACTCCTTGTCAGTCTGGTGCTACCTTGTGCACGTTTGACTGTTCAAAACCTGGTTTAGTTGGCGGACTCTAACGCATAACTTGTGCCCCATAGCATTTAACGTTACAGGCAATATTGCTGACACACCGCTAACCTGGTCTTTGAGAGTGTCTGGGACGTGCCACGTGAATCTCTGGTCATGTGACAGTTGTGCACTGTTGATCCACACTGGCTGTGTTGCCTTGGCGACGATGGGGAAAGCACCCAGCACCATTACGTCATTGCTGAGTGACGCAACCTATTAGCCATGTGGGCAGTAAGAGCAAGAGCAGCAAAGACAACAAGAGTGATGAAAGTCAGGACAAAATCAAACCAAGGCAAGTGCATTTAAAGTGAGATGATGCAAAAGATGTGTCTTTACTGCTGGTCAGCAGGTTGTACGTGACTGCAATGGTAGTTACTATCACTCATAGTTTGTGCGTACAAGAGGATTTATCACTCACAGCACTATGGCAGTGCTGGATTTCAGCATTGCATTGGACAAAGAGAACTGGACATGTCTGCATAGTGATCCTCCATGCTCCAGTAGTCTTGTCTTGTTTAGCGGTCACGGACAACCTGTCTACTTCAAATTCTGTCCTCCACTGTCTAACCGCAATGTGTCTTAGTACTGCACAATATACTATTTTCTGTGCAGCACACGTGAAAAGGCTGCTTAGCTGCATTTGACTGAAACTGAGAAAAAATGCATTGGAAGTTTGAATGTGCATACATCTGTGGCTAAGGACCGCGCCCAAAAGCCACCGCCACAGAATCATTTTGTTGATGGATTTCAATCTGGTTAAAAACAAAAAATAACTGGAGGGACTAGCCACCACAAGGGCATGATAACTCAAAACCTCAAATTCTAACCCTAAACCCCCGTGTACGTGCTCTACACCATAAGTTCATCATGGTTACCTTGGAGATGCTGCTCAGAGGACGAGATTGCACTTTGAACAAGTCCTTGCCGATAGCCGCAGCCAGCTCCACGCGCTCTTTCTCGTTCCTGACGGGATAGTCGAAACTGGAACCATACAGCGTGATGTGCTGAGTGGATGTGCTGTCGTCATCGTCGTCATGGATACGGCCGCTGCTATTGTGCGTGGATATGCCGATCTCAAACTGAAATAGAAAAAAACACGGCAAAGGGGTTTCCCAGGAATTAGGGAAACGCACGCGGTGTGTGTGTGTGTGTGTGTGTGTGTGTGTGTGCTTGCATGCATGCATGCGTGTGTGCGTGCGTGTGTGCATCGACACACATAAAATTCATGCTAGGAAAAAACGCATCTACATGTAAGCTCTGCCCTAAAGGAGAAATACATTGCATAACATGCACAACATGCACTCTTATTGGCGCGAGTCGCCATGGTGAGAAGAAAGAATAGAGAATAATAACAAGAGTAAATAACCTCCCAGAGTGTGCAACGCCTGATCCAGCTCTGCATAGGGTCTTGGTCGAGCGTAATCAGATCTTCTGAAGTCATGCGACACTCCACACCAGTGCAAGGCCGGTCTCGAGGCAGGGCACCGTTGTTTTTCATCCGGGAGTCCCCGCGACTCCCCGGGTTCCCCTCAGATGTGTACGGTATTATGACGCAAAGATCCAATTACGCTCGACGAAGACCCTATGCAGAGCTGGATCAGGCGTTGCACACTCTGGGGGGTTATGTACTCTTGATAATAATAATAACAATGCACACACGCCGCCAAACACACACCTTATAGCTGTTGACCGACCGTGGGCTGAACACAAACTGGACATCGACACAGCCCATAGCGGGGATGACTCCGCAAGGGTTACGACACGTGAGTGGGGAATGACCCGCACACACCTGGAACAAAAAACAACGACACAACAAGCACATCCAACTACATGTTAGCAAACGTTCAGACATGCTCAACAGTTGGATTGATTCACTCATGCCAACGTGATGACCATACAAACGAACACTGGATGACAAGAATTAAAAAATGTAGTACAGAGCGTCTGCTAGACGTGAAACGTAGAATCGTCTACGGCTTCGCGTGTTTCATGTCCACGAAGAGCAGAAAGAAAATCATTAAAAAAAGTTTTAAAAAAGTGTGCTGTGACCAGGATTCGAACCTGGGTTACTACGGCCACAACGTAGGGTCCTAACCACTAGACGATCACAGCTTGCCATCGGGGAGCACACATTCACCATGGTCCAATGACTAAACTTTGACTGAACCTGGATGACAACCAGTCTTGGATTGGGGGTTGGGGCAAAGGTAAAGGTACAACCCAAGTCAATTCAGACCATAGGGGCAAGAGGTGATAGAGACAGCTTGTTTTATGATCTCAACATTGTGAGAGCGGTGCATATCTGGACGCCCTTATCATCTTCACAAAACTCCCCATGTATACTCCCATGTATATATTCTAAAAGAATATCGGTAAAAAAAAACACACGCACACACACACGCATACACACACACACGCACAGAAAAACGCTGCCCTGGACTTTGCAAACAGTGAAAGTGCGGTGAGCATTGGCTCTGGAGGTACCCGTACAGGAGAATAATCATTGTACCTGATTGAGACGAGTTATGAGTGTCTCATCCACAGTGTAGCGGATGTCGCTAGTTCCATCATTGTACAGAGTGAACGGCTGGAGAGCAACAGGGGAGAAATAGGCCACAAATATTCTGTTGAGTAGATCATGCATGATATAAACCAGCACCAGCATCACCACTAGTACCATCACGAGCCGCAGGACAAGTAGCAATAGCTGCTGCAGCAGCACAATCACCACCACCAGTAGCACCGTCACCAGCAAGAGATTCAACTGCAGCAGTACCAGTAGCAGCATCAACTGCTGCAGCAGCACCAGTAGCAGCATCAACTGCTGCCTGCTGCAGCAGCACCAGTAGCAGCATTAACTGCTGCAGCAGCAGCAGTAGCAGTATCAACTGCTGCAGCAGCACCAGTAGCAGCATCAACTGCTGCAGCAGCACCAGTAGCAGCATCAACTGCTGCAGCATCAACTGCTGCAGCAGCAGCAGTAGCAGCATCAACTGCTGCAGCAGCAGCAGTAGCAGTATCAACTGCTGCAGCAGCAGCAGTAGCAGCATCAACTGCTGCAGCAGCAGCAGTAGCAGCATCAACTGCTGCAGCAGCAGCAGTAGCAGCATCAACTGCTGCAGCAGCACCAGTAGCAGCATCAACTGCTGCAGCAGCAGCAGCAAAAGTAGAAACAGACACAGCAGCAACTGCCGCAGCACTATCAGTAGCATGGTACCTGTATCGGTGGCGACTTGCATCGCACTGCTACCGGCTGGAAGGTGTGTGATCGAGATGGCCACATCGGATAGGGTGTTCCTTCCGGTACAGTGACACCACGTAATTCAAGCTGTGCGGTACACACACACACACACACACACACACACGTACACACACGTACACGCGCGCGCGCGCGCGCACACACACACACACACACACACACACACACACACATATGAGCACACACATAGTACATACTACAAACCATACATGCACCCATGTACATGTACATGTCTGTACACACACACATGCTCACATGAAGGCTGACAGTGGATATATTGGTGACAAAAGATGAACAAAGCAGACAGAAGGCACAGCTAAGCTATTGACATCACGCTAACGCTAACAACAAATTACACCACGAAGAAGCAAAACAGAAGAGATTGGTGAACTAGTGCAAAACCACTGTTGCCGTGAAATGTAATTCTCCCATGAAAAGAGCCACTGCTGTAGGAGTTGCATTTTAGCTTTGATGTCATGCCAACGGCTATGGTGTCTATCTACTCACCTTGACCTCACGACCCTCTCTGATCTTCAGCACAACATCCATCATATTTTCGCCAACAATATGATGCTCATATCTGTGGGAAAAAACGTCAGAATACAAGAACGTCAGTACTGTCGGTCAGTGTCGTGCAATGTTATCGCATGAGCTGATTGTTTAGTAATTGGTGGTGTTAGTGGACATTATAGCGTAAATTGTAGTTCCTTGGTCCTTTCTCTTTTCCATAAATTTATCCTTGGCTCTCCAACCGAGTCCAACACAAGATACACAAACATATCTGGGAGAATTAGTTATGCATCATGGTTAGATGGATGTGGGTAATGCGTGCGGAGTTCCTGAAATGGACTCACCTCCACGGCATAGCATTGGGCTACACAGTTCAACCAAGAGTACATAACCCCCCAGAATGTGCAACGCCTGATCCAGCTCTGCATAGGGTCTTGGTCGAGCGTAATCGGATCTTCTGATGTCATGCGTAAACTCCACACCAGCGCAAGGCTGGTCTCAAGGCAGGGCACCGTTGTTTTTGGTCCGAGAGTACCCGTGATTCCCCGGGTTCCCCTCAGATGTGTACGGTATTATGACGCAAAGATCCAATTACGCTCGACCAAGACCCTATGCAGAGCTGGATCAGGCGTTGCACACTCTGGGGGTTATGTACTCTTGGTTGAACTAAACAGACATGTTATTCAGGTTGTTAGATCTCACGAGAAGACTCCAACGGTGGGCCATTCGCAGAAAACAACGAAAACAGGACAAAAGAAAAGAAAAAAAAGTGTGCTGTGACCAGGATTCGAACCTGGGTTACTACGGCCACAACGTAGGGTCCTAACCACTAGACGATCACAGCTTGCTATCGGAGAGCACACAAACTTTGGACGTCCGTGGGCTTCTCTGGACATGCGATGGCTGAATACTCCGAGACATTCGCTTGTAGCTGTGATCGTGTACAATTTGCAGTGGTACTGAGGAGTCTAAGGAACTTAAGTTGTGGCCGTAGCAACCCCATTGCAAATCCTGGTCACAGCACACTTCTTCTTTTCTTTTTCTCCTGTTGCAAATCATGTCTGCGTGCTGCGAGGTTGCAAGCAAAGTAACTATTGTGGTTGTCAACATGTCACCTCCAAACTAAGAAACAATTGATAACGTATTGTGGATCCGCATACAGGGCGGTTCAAGAGCCACCTTTCCGCTCCCATGGGACGCCTTTTCCCCATGATCAGGGCGTCAGACGCAGCTAAACGGCTCTCTAAACTAGATCTAAGGGGTATTTCAACATCAAGGACACATTGCAGTCTACAATTTTCAGCAAGGTCTAAGATGTCTGCGGAAACTCTCGGCACTAAGCTACAGCCCGTATTTCATTGGTTACAAGTCAGCCTTTCGTACAGAAAAAGCACTAATAACGAGATCAACTTACATCTGAAATTTCGCATGAAAAAGAAACATTCAGTGTCACTGCACGGCAGCAGCCCCGAGTATGCATGGCCAGTTCCTACCAGGGAGTCGTAAAATACCGGTATTTTACGACTCCCTGGTTCCTACTACACCACTAGAGACGGTGTACTTGTACATGTGCACGTCTGGCCTCATTCCTACCACTTCCAGGGTGTCAAGGGCCGTGCAAGTTGAGTGCGCCAGATATGCACTTTGAGTAGGATTTCACTGAGCGCTATGGTGTATAGCTCAAGAAATTGCTGAATTCTTTGTTTTCGTGTTGGAGACCGGACCAGCGAGTTTGCGGCGGGCTGACAACAATGACAAGATCAGGGGCAAGCACAGAAACCAAGAGAGGAGGGGCGTACTGAGGACACACGTGAAATGGCGGTGTCAGGTAGTCGGTAGTCGCCCCGCGCCTATTCAAGTCAGTGCAAGCCTTTTACGAGTTGCATGCTGTACATCTCCAAAAATTCAACGTTCATACATATTTTGCCTCAAGGTGTGAGGGTATGGCACGTGCCCCTCACGCCCCCATCTAAACATGCCCCTGAAGATATCTGCTAGTTATTAAAATGTAACGTCATCACACCGTGAAATATAACAAAAGAACATGAAGTGGCTCTACATGTCAAAGAACACAAACAGTTCAAACTACAAAAAGAAAAAAAGAATGAAAAAAGTGTGCTGTGACCAGGATTCGAACCTGGGTTACTACGGCCACAACGTAGGGTCCTAACCACTAGACGATCACAGCTTGCTATCGGGGAGCACACAATCTTTGGATGTTTTGTGGGGATCTCTGGACATGGGATGGCTGAATACTGCGAGACATTCACTCCCTGAGGCCTCGTACTAGCTTTATAAAATACAAAATATTTTGAAAGTTGCTTGGACTGAATTTCACTTGTTTTACTAGTGTATTATAGTTACTTCACAGTACTGTGCATAATCATAATACTGTAAATATACAAAATTTCGGCGCTGCAAAATTTCGGCACTTCACGGTTTTTGACATTTCGGCGGCGATTTATTTTCGGCATGGGGTAGAGGGCATGGTATAGTGCGACAGATGCTGTGAAAAATTTCATCGGCGTTTTAATTTAGGCGTTTTGGGTCGGTGCCGAATATAGCCGAAATTAAGTAGCTGCCGAAAATTTGTATATTTACAGTAACTATTTTTTGGTTTTGCCCGTGCAAGAGGCTGATTTATGAGGGGGGGGGGGGGGGAGGAGATTAAAGACATTCGCAATCGCACATGTAGGGTGTATGGTTCAGGAGATTGCCGACTTGTTTTGTTTTCGTGATGGAGACGGCCAGCAAGTTTCCCAGCCTGACAACAATGACAAGATACTGTAAACTCGGAATCGTTATGGCCCGTTTTTACTTCACGAGTTGCGATGAAAGACCATTTTGCGCCTGCGAACGTTTGCGATTGGAGTCAATGTTGATGATTGCCTCAAGTCTACAGTTTCGCGTTTCGCGCCACTTACTTTCGCCACTTCGCACCAAGAGTACATAACCCCCCAGAGTGTGCAACTCCCACATACCCTGCTGTCCCGACAGAATTTCAAGTTGACGTCATTATTTATGACGCAATGCTCCTTGCACCAGTGATTTACAACATGTGTACGGGTGTCAACGCATCACACGTTTTTCTTTCCAATAATTTGTACAGGATCGATCGGCTTCGGTCAACCACAGGTTCCGGATTCGTCTGACAATCCGTGTACAGTGCGCATTGCATCATCAAAATGACGTCAACTTGAAATTCTGTCGGGACAGCACCCATAGTGGAGTTGCACACTCTGGGGGGTTATGTACTCTTGTTCGCACTCATCGCGAAAATAGCAAACGTTTCAGGATTGCAAAGGTTCCTGGGTTTACAGTGATAAAAGAACATGAAGTCGTTCTACCGTTCGTCCGAGAACACAGACATATCAAACTACATTTAATATACAAAAGAAAAAAAAGAAAAAAAGTGTGCTGTGACCAGGATTCGAACCTGGGTTACTACGGCCACAACGTAGGGTCCTAACCACTAGACGATCACAGCTTGCTATCGGGGAGCACACGTCTCCAGATTGTACTTTTGTTCAATGTACATTTGCAGAAGGAAAGCCACTGAGCAAATATGACGCTCACAACACAGAACAACAACATGACGGCCTTACTTGAATTTGATGATGGAGCTTTGGCCGGGCAGGAGACAACCACTTTTCGGCGAGACTGCAAACGTTCCGCTCTTTAGGTAATGAAAGGTCTGCGCTTCGGACGACGAGAGAAGCTCCTCTGCCCAGCTGTCCACCTCCAACTGCATGTCTGTAGGGTATGCAATTTGCCTAGAGATTCGGGGGTAAATAACACACGTGCACACACACAGTCACGCACACACGAGCACGCACGAGGGCCCACACACACGCAAGCACACATACACATAATGTCCATGCACACACAAGCACACACGAGGGCACATACACAAACGCACAGATACATGTGAGGCTGGCGGAAATATGAATTCGACTTGTAAACTCACTTTCTCTGTGTGTGTGTGTGATATGGTTTCCTGTCACCCTGATGCTGGGAACACACGCACGCACCCCCCCCCCCCTCGTACACACACACATGCACGTACACACACACACACGTACACACGTACACACACACACATGTACACACACACACACACACTTACCAGTAACACTCGACGAGAGTAGTGTTCTCCACTTGCCAATACACAGTACTGGGTTGTGATGCATACAGTGCAGTGCCTAGGTTGAGTACAACATTGGCTGGGGTACTGAACGCTCTGCTGATACGAGTGCTGAACGGGATGCAAACAAACAGAGGCGACCACGCACGAACACAAGCATGCGTGCATACACAAACGCATGCACGGACGAATGCACAAACGCCCAAAACACCACCACAACCACCAATAACAACAAACACATAAAAATAAAAAATAAACACATACACACACGCACGCACAAACACACATAAACACACAAATAAAGCTAGGAGACACCAGTATCTACAAGTAGAATGGGTTTACAGTTCTGTGTTGGTCTGGTGTCTCAGTATTCAAGGTCAGTTCCCCTGTCACTCTCACTGTATTATCGAATGTCAGAAATTGGAGGTATACGCGCCATTCAGGTTTTCTTTTTCCATTTTACTAAAAACGTTACTCAAGTAGACCGGGATGCCAGCAAGAGCTTTGTAAGTTTGTATAATTATAATAGAAGGAAGTGACCTGGTCTTCTTAACTCTCTTCCAGTCAGGTCCAGTCAGGTTGACCCGTTGCGATGTACAGTCGACTCCTGATATATCGAACACAATTGTGCTGGAGAATTAGCTTTTTTTCATAGCCAGAGTTCGCTATAACAGAATTACACTTACATTTCGGTTTCAAACAGCAACACATACAGTGGTTCACTAAATCACGAAATTTGCTATAAGCGAGTTCGGTATTTGTATTTCGTATTTTTGTACTTATGGATTCTCCACAGCCCTTAGCCTAAATCGAGGGAGTCTCCGGTATAAGTGGAGTAGACTGTCCGCTGCTTTTTCCTCAGTCTTGCCTCTCACAACCCAGTACACACTGCACTTACCTGGTACGCGTGACAGTGTCGTGAGCACGCTCTCCGGCCGTCGGTTTCTTCTTCACTAACTTGTTCAACCTGCAATGCGAAAAAAAACAAGAAAAGCAAGGGGAAATAACTTGTCTCTTTCAGTGATATGTATGGTGAGAATGTTTGACAAGCCGTCACATATGGATAATATGGTTGCACTCATCTCCATTTGACAGCTCAGATATACGCTCAACCCTTCATTTGGTAGCACGTCGGTTTACTCAATTTATCCATTCCATCCGTCCATTCACTTGTTTGCTAACTCTGCGGTCAATCATAATTATGGTTGTAGGAGTGGACTAGGCAGTCGTTGGCTTGGACACTCAGGACCGGGGAGAAATGGATGCAGCGAATGGGATTTTTGATTTTGGACAACTTTGGTGGTGAGTCTGATCTACCCATCTCCCACCCACTGGCCCGGGCCACGATTCTGACCCACCCCAACCCCCACCCCCATCCATTCTTCGGAAATCCAATCCCAAACCAAAGCAAACCGGTGGAAACAATGGGAAATCATCAAATTGACAAGCAATTTGCACTTTAACCAAGTGTAAACTAGAGAAAATCACGAAGGGGGGGGGGGGGGGAGTTTATTTTTTAATTTTTTTACTAAGGCCACAGCTTCCAATCATGACATGCAAAGCAGCGGTTGGGGAAGACAGTGAAACTTTCAGTGGCTCAGAGCTTACTCTTCGACGCCTGTCATTTGCCAGAGCCTCCGTTTCTCCACTCGCTCCGCACTGCCGGTTCCAGCGACGTTAGTGACTTGCAGGTGTGGATACACCGCCTTTGTCTTCATACTGCATAACATCTGTGGAGCAACGCTATCCAGTGGCTCTCCTGTACACAAACACAGGTACACACACACACATACACATGTACACACATACATACACACACGTGCACACACACACACACGCACACACACACACACACACACGCGCGCGCGCGAGCGCGCGCACACACACACACACAAACACACACACAAACACACACACACACAGATCGCTGCGGTCAGTTTACCATTACTTACAGCCCCGAGTTTTAACCAGCACTGGCCCACCAGTCAGTAGCGTGGGTTGAGATGTGGTCATTTGCTCCGGAATAAACATTCTAACAGGAAAAAGCTGTACAAAGTGTTCAAGCATGTATCAGATTCACTTGAAAGTTTGAAACAGCAGCAGCCACACCATCCCCTCGATATGCTACCTGCCTCTGGGTCATCCCTCAAATAAAGATACGGTAATAATAATAATAATAATAATCTTTGTAATAAAGGTTTGCTCCCCACACCGGAGCTCGCGCTATTCCGCCGACTTTACTTGACACTTGACTGACTCACGACTGCCATCCAGAGCACACGAGACGTCCATTGAACCTTCGACTCGGCAAACCTGCAAGAAAGCACCACTCCCTGCTCCCTGCGAGCTCCGGTGTGGGGAGCAAACCTTTCTTACAAATCATCGCCGAAGTCGCAACCACTACTTCAATAATAATCTTCACTAGTTTAATAATTTTTTAAGCACTCGCAGACTCCATTGCAGCCATTCACACATTATAGGGTACCTCACTTCAAACTCTCCAACTACGGTCTCTTCGCTGCATATGTTCACTTCAAGCGAAGAGACCGTAGTTGGAGAGTTTGAAGTGAGGTACCCTATAGTTTAATAATAATAATAATAATAATAATCATCATCACATCATGTGTGGCTCTGACTGATTATAACGAGACCATTGGCCAGACTAGCATAAATGCCTCACTGGAACAAACTCCCTCTGTCTGAGTCTAGTAAAGCGAAAAAACAAACACTGCATCACGGATAACTCATAAATTGAACGAAAAGCTTCGCCGATATGTCGTTTTCTTGGAGTTTCATTTCACACTCTGGGTTATGTATGTACTCTTGCTACTCAGCTAGCTGGGAATGCCAAAATATTGTAGACAAAAAAAGAGCGTGCTCCCAGCAGGGCTCGAACCTGCGACATTCGCGTTATTAGCACGACGCTCTAACCGACTGAGCTATGGGAGCTCATGGAGAAAACAACCCGGAATACAAGTAACGTGAACTCAACTCCCACGGTATTTCAAGTTTGAGCAGAGGGGCATGCAGGCAGTGGTACTTGACATAATCTGCCTGACTCATTTGATTTTATTCATTCCTTCAGATTACATTTGAAGGATTTTTCGAAAGTAAATGCAGTCAGACCTCGCTTAACCGCACACATCCGTTTCCACAAAAAATATCCTGATAGGCGAGGGAACCGGATAATCGAACACACATACTGTATGTATGCATGGCATACTGCAAAGCGATAAACGTTCGAGGCGTGCAAATTTTGCGTTTTCATGAATTGGGCTGTTTCACGATGAGAAACGTTTACGATTGTGTCTCTTCAGTTAGACCTTATACTGTCTACAATCAATTTACAGAGCAGTTTGCGGCAATTTATATTCGCGAATATGGGATAGTCGCGAAAATAGCGAAATTTATATATAAAAGAGGACCAGACTGTAGACCGGACCGGACTGTAGATACGTATCAGGGTGAAAAGGAAGTGAAAAGGGGTCAAGAACCACACACGTAGCAGAAACGCTAGGATTCGTGCTGCAAGTCCTACGAAGCCTAGCCCGGTTGTGTCCTCATATTCTTTGATCAGTTTCCGCGGGAGAGGGGGGGACTGATGGTCGAGGGTGGTCGACGGGGAAGTTGAACTTTCCAAGTGTTATTGGAAAAGTCTTGAAATTTTACACTTTGAGAGAAAAGTTCACACTGTTAAAAATGTTTTACACACGTTCGTGTTTCCATGTGATTATGGAAACAAAAATTATCCACCACGGGAAGCAGTGGTGTGGCTGTCCTCTTCCGAGTTTCTGTCTGCATGCGCCTTCATCATGTGCAAAAGTGTGCCTTGACAAAAAAAAGAGCGTGCTCCCAGCAGGGCTCGAACCTGCGACATTCGCGTTATTAGCACGACGCTCTAACCGACTGAGCTATGGGAGCTCACATAATGCATAGTGCAGATCTCTCCATTGGGTATCTTTGGAAGCACTGGTGCTCTCCAAGTATGTACTGGTCAGGAGGAAGGTGCAGGAGCAGCAAGAGACTAAGCCAAGAGTACATAACCCCCCAGATCATAGTGTGCAACTCGACTATGGGTGCTGTCCCGACAGAATTTCAAGTTGACGTCATTTTGATAATGCAATGCGCACTGTACACGGATTATCAGACGAATCCGGAACCTGTGGTTGACCGAAGCCCATCGATCCTGTACAAATTATTGCAAAGAAAAACGTGTGATGCGTTGACACCCGTACACATGTTGCAAATCACTGGTGCAAGGAGCATTGCGTCATAAATAATGACGTCAACTTGAAATTCTGTCGGGACAGCAGGGTATGTGGGAGTTGCACACTCTGGGGGGTTATGTACTCTTGGGAGCAGTGATTCATGCTACCGAGAGTACATAACCCCAAGGGTGTGCAACTCTGATCTCCGTGATATGGGTGCCGTGTGCAGCGCCTGCCTTCGTTTCCTATTGAAATGATGATCCAGCTGCATGGATTTAAGTTTTCCTACGGTTTACCTTCAACGATTTAATGTGCAATACGGTAAGTTCAAAGGCAATGCCTGAGCTTGATGCATCACGTACAAATCCATACGGAGTCCCCTAGGACAGCGGATTTGGAAGCAGGTAACCGTAGCAGATCAATAATAACGCAATGGGCCACGGTTCGTGGCTACGTAATGCAGGCAGCGCGCCGTGTCAGACCCCACATGCAGAGTTGCACACTCTTGGGGTTATGTACTCTTGATGCTATGGAGTACTTCTACCAGTCCAGAGTGACACGTGTTAGGTAAAACTACTAGATTACACACGACAATACGTTCGATGATCCGAACTGGGAAGCGACGCACCGCACCGTGCGAGTACTATACCAGGCAGCCTCTAGAACTGGTATCGACCTCGCTCGCAGACCAACAGCTAGGTTGTGTCGGCATGGTGAGGTTCATCTTTTCAAAGGGGGATTTCTTGGCTACAAAATCCACATAATCACGAGAGACTGGGGTGAATTATGGAGTGTGGTGGTGGGGGCCACTCGCCCTAGTTCCTCTGCTGGGTGCTCTGGATGCACAAACTACAGTCGACCTACCCTTATAACGATAACCTCTATAACGATATTACCCTTATAACGATATTTTTCTGCCAAACCAGATCACTCCATTGACTTGCGTATACAATGCCTTACCTCTACAACAATATTGCTATAACGATATTACCCCTATAACGATATAAAATGGGCTGACCAATCGACTTTTTCCATTATATAACAATATCTAGCAGAGAATATAAAAGAGCCCACTATCCAGGTAGGGCAAGCTTCGCTTGATAAGTCGCTGGGACATGATGAAATGCAATGGGGGCACCAATGGGCACCTTGCTATGTATATAATGCACATGTACATCAGTTTTTATGCTATGAAGAGTGTAAAAAATGAACAAAACCATGCATTATGACGTACATGTATGAAATTAACCAGTTACCCTTATAACAATATGTCTTGGTCTGACGCAAATATCGTTATAAGGGTAGGTCGACTGTAGTCACCATACTTAACTGGAAAAACAATTGCTCGTTAAAAAAAAGGAAAATTGTATCAACTAGACGCAAACATGATTCATAGAAATTAGCAGAATATCAGTCCTATCCCGAATCTCAGCATGCTGTTGTTCCCTTTATTTGAGTGAGCTTTGTGATGAAAAAAGAGCGTGCTCCCAGCAGGGCTCGAACCTGCGACATTCGCGTTATTAGCACGACGCTCTAACCGACTGAGCTATGGGAGCTCACATAAGGCATAGTGCAGATCTCTCCATTGGGTATCTTTGGAAGCACTGGTGCTCTCCAAGTATGTACTGGTCAGGAGGAAGGTGCAGGAGCAGCAAGAGACTAAGCCAAGAGTACATAACCCCCCAGATCATAGTGTGCAACTCGACTATGGGTGCTGTCCCGACAGAATTTCAAGTTGACGTCATTTTGATGATGCAATGCGCACTGTACACGGATCATCAGACGAATCCGGAACCTGTGGTTGACCGAAGCCCATCGATCCTGTACAAATTATTGCAAAGAAAAACGTGTGATGCATTGACACCCGTACACATGTTGCAAATCACTGGTGCAAGGAGCATTGCGTCATAAATAATGACGTCAACTTGAAATTCTGTCGGGACAGCAGGGTATGTGGGAGTTGCACACTCTGGGGGGTTATGTACTCTTGGGAGCAGTGATTCATGCTACCGAGAGTACATAACCCCAAGGGTGTGCAACTCTGATCTTCGTGATATGGGTGCCGTGTGCAGCGCCTGCCTTCGTTTCCTATTGAAATGATGATCCAGCTGCATGGATTTAAGTTTTCCTACGGTTTACCTTCAACGATTTAATGTGCAATACGGTAAGTTCAAAGGCAATGCCTGAGCTTGATGCATCACGTACAAATCCATACGGAGTCCCCTAGGACAGCGGATTTGGAAGCAGGTAACCGTAGCAGATCAATAATAACGCAATGGGCCACGGTTCGTGGCTACGTAATGCAGGCAGCGCGCCGTGTCAGACCCCACATGCAGAGTTGCACACTCTTGGGGTTATGTACTCTTGATGCTATGGAGTACTTCTACCAGTCCAGAGTGACACGTGTTAGGTAAAACTACTAGATTACACACGACAATACGTTCGATGATCCGAACTGGGAAGCGACGCACCGCACCGTGCGAGTACTATACCAGGCAGCCTCTAGAACTGGTATCGACCTCGCTCGCAGACCAACAGCTAGGTTGTGTCG